TGACCTTGATATATATATATATATATATATATATATATATATATATATATACTACTATAACTTAATCATGATTGTTAATTAATCTATGGTTTGACTTTATTTTTGTTGGTTACGCACATATCTTTGACCTTAATTATTATATATAACTTGCTTTACCTTGCTTATTTTACGTATACAACAACTTACCTTTTTAACATGTTTTTTTCTCCTATAAATTCGATTGACATATTTTTAGTTTCTGACAAAATCACATTGAAAAATAGCTCCATTTTCCACTATTTCCTCCTTTATGGTGCTTAAAGAAAATATTCATTAATAAATAAAGTTGTGTGAATCGAATTTTGGTGTTATATATGCAAGACTTGTTGTTAAGTTTTCACATCGAACTAAGGCCTTATAGGTATTAATGGTTCCACTAGTATATGACCTTGGTTCGACATAATAATTTGATGACAGGCTTTGTATCTGTAACACCAAATACCTGAATATCACACAATTTTATTTTATTGATGAATGTTTTTTACTGGATAGAAAAATATAATAAAATGATAAAGATGTTTGCATACTTGAATGTGCGAGCAAGGTAAGCTAGATGTATTGATTAGGGTTAGGGTAATATATTAATTTGTATTTTAATTCTTCTCTTAAAATTTGATATTTATTACTCTTATAATTATTTTTGTCTAATTTGATATAAAGATCGAGTGCAAATATTTTAACATATAACAAGTCCAAATCTATATCCAATGAACATTGGACATAGAGATTGCAAACAAGTTCATGCAATTTAGAAGATTACCACCTTAATGGATCATTTGGATTAAAGATAAATTGTGCATAAATTAATGTGTGTTGTAGAGATTGATGGTGTAAAAATTGTAATGTTTGAGATTAATAATATATAAATGCAATTATTACAAGAATTGTTTTGTTTACTTATTTTCAAAATGTTTAATACATGATAGTTAATTTGGCCATTTTAATTACTTAATACATACAATTTAGTATTAATTTTTGTATTTGTATTTCACCTTTTGTCTCGCCTAAGACTAAAACGCACATTCATGTATAACTTATACAAATATTATTTATGCAGACACTAAAAATAACAACTATATAATCAATACATTGTGTATTGCTAAATTTATGCAATTATCAAAAGGTAGCCAAGTCTATGCTAAATTGTATGGAAGTATTATAACTATAGTCAATAATAAAAGATTAATTATTAAGTAAATTTTCAAACAGAATAAATAAACATAAATATTTATATTTAATATAATGAACAAGTAAAAGTGAAGGTGAGTAATAATTACTATATTACTGGTACTACAAATAATCACTAGAGGAAGGAAATTTTCTAATTTAGGAAAATGTAATCAAGGATGTAAAATTTCTTATATTTTACTTGAAGTATATTTTAATTTTCCTATTTTAGAAATTATGTAGATTTTAAAATATGCATGTAGTTTTTTTTTAATTAAAAAAATGGCTTTACCAAATACCTTTTCATTGTCAGCATCCAAATCCCTAGGTAACTTTTCTTCATGTCAGCCCCATTTCTCCCTTTTTCCCGACCACCGATATGGGAGGCGCCACCGCATCTCCGCCGTACACGCGGCGGCGGAGCAAGAAAAATGGAGTCTTGGAAGTTGGAAAAACAAGAAGGCTCTGCAACTTCCTGAATACCCAAATGAAGAAAATCTTGAAATTGTGCTTAAGATTCTTGAATCAAACCCACCCCTTGTGTTTGCTGGTGAAGCAAGGAATTTGGAGAAGAAGCTTGGTGAGGCTGCATTGGGGAAAGCTTTTTTGTTACAAGGTGGAGATTGTGCTGAGAGTTTTAAGGAGTTTAATGCTAATAATATTCGTGATACTTTTAGGATTTTGCTTCAGATGAGTGTTGTTCTTATGTTTGGTGGAGAAGTTCCTGTGATTAAGGTAATAAAGATTTGATTTTTATGAACTCCATTTTCAAATTTTGTGTTTTGATTGACTTATATGTGTGTTATGATGTTTCTTAGTTCTCATTTTTGTGTATTTGTGTGACAATTGTATGTTTTGTATGCGTGTATATATATATATGTTGTGTGTGTGAGAGAGAGACTGAGTTAAGTGTTGCTTAGTGGTCAATCACGTGGTTGAGAGCTACGAGTATTTATGTTACAAAAATACTAGGTGATTCTTTCTGTCCTAGTCTTAGTGGACAGAGTTACCTGGTACATGTTGCTGGTGGAAGGTGGAAGGTATCTCCTGGAATTAGTGGATATGAGCGAAAGCTGACCCGGACTCCACATTCGTAAAAAAAGAAGAAGAGTGTAGGAGACTTGTGAGTTGTGTAGATATATACATGTATTTGCTTTGCTCAAGTGTTTTAAGTGTATGAGTTGTGGAATATCTAGGATCTTGAATAGGTGGAATGCATGTCATTATGATGAGTTTCTTGATTGAAAAAAAGATCATGACTTTAAGATTAAATTGTTATATGGTTACTTATAGGTTGGAAGAATGGCCGGCCAGTTTGCAAAACCAAGATCAGATCCGTTCGAGGAGATAAATGGAGTGAAGTTACCAAGTTACAAGGGTGACAATATCAATGGTGATACATTTGATGAGAAGTCACGAATTCCAGATCCTCGTAGGCTTATTCGGGCCTATATGCAATCTGCTGCGACTCTTAATCTTCTTAGAGCTTTTGCTACTGGAGGTTATGCTGCAATGCAGAGGGTTACTGAATGGAATCTTGATTTTGTGGAGAACAGTAAGCAGGGCGATAGGTATGAATATTGTAATCTTTAATGAAGGTCTACAGCAGATTCTATGTAGGCGTTTGGACATAAAAATGCGATATTCGAAAAAAAAGTTGAAAAAAGGTGTTTGGAAATTGATGTGTGTTTGGACATGCAATCAACTTGAAAAAAGTTGAAAGTTTATGAGTAGAAAAAGAAAATTCACTTGAAGATTTGGTCGAAATCACTTTTTAAACTCGAAACTTATGTTCAAAAAGGTTTTCAAAATATGAGTTCACTGTATAACCAAACTTCGTTTTGAGTTTATTTTTTTAAAAAAACAATTGAACATTTTGCACGGACAAACGGATCCTATGTCTTTTTCGGAGATGAAAATTTGGAAAGAATTCCACGGTTATGCTTGGTCTGTAGTACTTTTAACTCTATATCATTTTAATGACACTTCTCGATTGTACTTGGGTTTGAAGTGCCAAGTTTTTGTCATTACAACTTCAAATGTCAAATATTCTGCCATGTAGTTTTGAGTCTAATGTGTTGATATTGGGGAATGTTTTGCAGGTACCAAGAACTAGCTCACAGGGTTGATGAAGCCTTAGGATTCATGACTGCTGCTGGACTCACAGTCGACCACCCTATCATGTCAACGATTGATTTCTGGACATCCCATGAGTGCTTGCTTCTTCCTTACGAACAAGCACTTACAAGGGAGGATTCAACTTCTGGTCTTTTCTATGATTGTTCTGCTCACATGGTTTGGGTTGGGGAACGAACCAGACAATTAGACGGTGCTCATGTCGAGTTTTTGAGAGGAGTAGCAAATCCGCTTGGCATAAAGGTATGGATAGCTTAAAGCAGTAAGTATTACTGATTAGCTTATTCGTTGCTCAGTGCAGTAGGCTGTTCGACTTGTCTAAATACGAAGTAAGAAGTAAAAGGAAAACAAAAATTTAGAACTTATGAATCTCCAATAATTCCGTTGGTTATTATATATGTATATTTACCATTATAAATACAATTTCAGCTCCTTTTAACTCATTTGTGCTAATTTTGAGATCTTACGAGTTGTCTCAGCCAATGCTGTTTTGCCTGTTTATATGAGTTGCCTAAAGATGGAAGTTTTATTGCAGGTGAGCCAAAAGATGGATCCAAATGAACTAATTAAGCTCATTGACATCTTGAACCCTGCCAATAAGCCTGGAAGAATAACTGTAATTGCAAGAATGGGTGCTGAGAACACGAGAGTGAAACTTCCGCCCTTGGTCAGGGCAGTACGAGGAGCTGGTCAGACTGTGACGTGGGTTTGTGACCCAATGCACGGGAACACCATCAAGGCACCATGTGGACTCAAAACTCGTGCTTTCGATACAATCCTGGTATGTTTCATCTGAGCATCCTCTCTATGATTCTTGGGTAAAATCACTTTGGACAATTAAAGTTTTCTCAAGACTTGGGGTCTCCATTCATAGTGAAACAGATAGAAATTGCTGCTTCCCATGAAAATGAGAGATGCTTTTGCTAGATATTAATCTGTTCAACGACGTTTAGTAGAAAGTATAGATATTTGATTCTGTATAGTTTGAGGCTTAACTGGAAATGGTTCTATGAGGTTGAAACTTGAAAGTGTAGTGTATTTTTCAGGCAGACTGCAATTTCAGTAGTTACTGTTTTTCGATCTCAAAGTTCAAAGCTTGTATCTGAATGTTATATTATACTAAACTGGCAGGCTGAGGTCCTAGCTTTCTTCGATGTGCATGAGCAAGAAGGGAGCCATCCTGGTGGTATTCATCTAGAAATGACAGGGCAAAATGTGACTGAATGCATTGGCGGATCAAGAACAGTAACCTACGATGATTTGGGCTCACGCTACCACACACATTGTGATCCGAGACTGAATGCTTCTCAATCTCTTGAACTTTCCTTCAATGTAGCTGAACGACTAAGAAGACGAAGAATGGCTACTCAACGCGTGTAGGCGTTTAGTCTGCAGTCTTGATCTCTTAGTATCCAATAAACTGAGTTTCCATCCATCCCCTCATAGTAGTTTGAGTAGTGTTACTAGAACTTAAGTCTGAATAAATATAAGTGATTTTGATTAATGTTTTTATACACTTTTACTAATCTTTTTGACTTGGAAACTTGAAAAAGAAAATGAAGAGTTATTATATTTTCTGTTTTATATACCCTATGTGAATCCCGCATATACAGAATACGAGAGACGTGTTGGGTATATAAGGAAGCAAGCCTTACAAGTTACACCCTTCCCCCTTCTTTGTGTATATGTGGTTTCTCTCTAAAAGTAAAATATTGAAAATACTAGTAGTTGATAATAATTAGCTTAACAAATATTTTGTAGGTACTTATTACAAAAATGTAAATATCAGATTAATTTAGTTAAACATAATTATCTCCATAGTCACATGTATTTGGTCACATTATTGGTTAATGAAGTGACTAATATCCACTTATCTAAGTCCTAACCACATGATCACTAACCTAAGTATTTTTAGGTGTTAACTAATTTGCAAATGCCAATTTTCTATTTTCTTGTGTTTGGAGAACATAACTTTATTTGATACGTGTTACTTGTGATAGATAACACGTATCCTGTAAAATTAATCGACGTATCCGCAAGCCGGCTCATATATATTATTGAAACCTTTTCAATGATTGAAAAGCCAAATAATTTAAAAGGGTAGTTGGATGGTAGATTCTTGGGATTATTCCAGATATGAGGACCATGACTCAACTGGTCCAAAAGACCTATCAACCACAAAGATACCTTATCAATCTTTATGATTTTATACTCTTTTTTTTTATATATAATATGAATTAGGAGAATATTCGCAAATTGTCATTATAATAAATTTGATTATGCTTTATAGATATAGTTTGCATATTTATGAGTTGTAGCTATAGTTTAAGTTATCTCATTTATATAATTTGCGGGTGAATTTATATAATTGAGCTATTTTTGTATAAATTCAAAATAAAGAACTGATACAAACACAAACAACTGAACTTTAAAACAATTATACAAATTACATTATATAACAGTTATACAAAGTATACTATACAAATTTCGAATTATACAAATTTGAAACTTCAGCCCACATAATTATCACTAAATATTAGTCGTGAGCGATAATTAGCAAAATATATATCTATGATAATTAATTAACTAGTATATGCTTGCCTAATCACGTAATTTTCACTATGAATTATGAAGGCAACTTTCTTGGTTTTAAGCAAAGATTTTTATTATGATTATTAATAATATAATAATAATAATTCAACATTGGAGAAATCTTCTTTATAGGACTTGCAAAATTTCATGCAAAAAAAAAACATGCTAATTATGACCCATTGGGGGTATAAAGTTTTGTCAGCACTATATTAACGAAAGATTTTTTCGGATTTTGCCTAAATTTAAATTTGCTTTTCACAATCAAGAACGAAATACTCTTTAAAAAAAAGGCATATTATTTAAAATTCGAATTTGAAACCTCTAATTAAGGATGAATACATATTTATTACTATTCTATTACAATCCACATTGGTGGAGAATAAATATTCTAAATTCAAACAAATCTTAAGGAATACATACTTATTATATTCTCCAATCTCACTCCTTGTATATTGTCCAAAAAATTATTTTATATAATGATTATGTAGACATAAAATTTGAATAAAAATTATTAAATTTTCGAAAATTCACACTTGATACGATAGATTCACCCTTACATACCTACCTGTCCACAAAATCTATGGAACTAATTATTACAACGTTGCAATATATTTAATCAATCAAATGTTTAGCTCAAAATGAAGGACACAATTCGTTGTCTTCTCTGGCAATGAAAAAGATAGGAGACACAAAAAGGACAAGAAAGTTTGGACATCAAACACACTTTCATTTTTTTTTGCATTCGTTTTGAGATTTGATATAATTTATATTTATTTTGTAAAATTTTATTTTGAAGAATAAACGTTTTTTTTATCAAAGATAACTGTAATTTTATAAAGCTTGAATTCAAGATCTTTAATTAAGATAAAAAAATAAATAAATTATCATTCTACTATAACTTTTTGGTATTCCTATAAAAACTCATAACCTAAAATCAACCTAAATATTCTATTGAACTAATTTAAGACTAACTATACCTAACGGAACATGTTCATGAAGATAATTGAATTGGCGCAATATGTAGTATTCATAAAAAAAAACACTAGAGAGTAATTCCCTCTGCTATAACGTCTTTTCATTCAAACTTATCGTACTAGACTTGTATAGTAAGATTTATATTTCTTGTATGATTTGCAAGCTATTGCTTAAGAACGAGTTTATCTAATACACAACCGATAATTAACGACTTGACAATATTATTAGAATCAAAACTAATATTTATTAATAATTGAGGTACCAAAAGTGCAATTATCACAAATGAGTTAAACAAAATACCAAACCGACTCTCCTATCTTTTGTGGTCCAATTTCACAACTTATTTACCAAAATGCCTCTCACAACTACCAATTCTACACCTACTCACCATGATCTCACTTGCAAAATAAAAAAAATACAATTGATAAACTAAGCTTCCGTTATGCATATCGTTTAAAAAATGGTCGAAAAATAAGTATTTAAAATATTTCGTATCTAATCTTACTTATATTTCTGAAGAGCTTATTTCACAACTTAAAACTCACGATATTCTAATCAATTACGTCAAGACTTTCGATAAATTATACTCACTCATTTCCCGATAAATTAGGTATATAAATATAAGCTTTCATTATGCATGCAATTTAGAAAATGGTCGAAACATCGTAATTTATACCTAATCTTACTTAATTGATGAAAAGGATTATCGAATATATATTTTTATAATTACGTGACATTAACTTTATCAATTGCATCAAGACTCTCGATGGAATGTACACTCAAATTGCCCAAAAAGTTAGGAATATAAATAATCCTAAAATGCCCCTTTAGATCTCGTCCTCCATTGATACCTCTTCCCCTTTCTCTCTCTAAAAAAGTTTGTCTTTTTTATAGTGAGAGAAAAAAGAGGATTCAAGAATCATCAAAAGCTAAAAAATAATCATGGCTTTATCAAACACCTCATCATTGTCATCATCAAAATCCCTTGTTCAATCTCATCTTCTCCATAACCCTTTACCCCAACCTCGTTTTTCCCTTTTTCCGACCACCCAACATGGGCGGCGCCACCCCATCTCCGCCGTACATGCGGCGGAGCCATCCAAGACTGCAGTTAAGCAAGGAAAATGGAGTCTTGATAGCTGGAAAACAAAGAAAGCTTTGCAACTTCCTGCATACCCAGATGAGAAAGAACTTGAATCTGTGCTTAAAACACTTGAAATGAATCCACCACTTGTGTTTGCTGGTGAGGCAAGGAGTTTGGAAGAGAAGCTTGGTGAGGCTGCATTGGGGAAAGCTTTTTTGTTACAAGGTGGAGATTGTGCTGAGAGTTTTAAGGAATTTAATGCCAATAATATTCGTGATACTTTTAGGATTTTGCTTCAGATGAGTGTTGTTCTTATGTTTGGTGGACAAGTTCCTGTGATTAAGGTAATAAATATTTGATTTTTATGAACCCCATTTTCAAATTCTGTGTTTTGATGTGCTAATATGCGTGTTTTGCTGATTGTTCCTGTGATTAAGGTGATAAAGATTTGATTTTTATGACCCCAATTCCAAATTCTGTGTTTTGATGTTCTAATATGTGTGTTCTGCTGATTCTTGATTCTTATTTTTATGGGTGTGTGTGAAAATTGTGCTCCTATTGTACCTGTCATAGTGTAGTTTATGCTTATATTCTATGTCAAGCTAGAGTTCTGTTTGATATCTAGAGATTGTACAACTATAGTTGTTCCTACATAACGTGGTTCGTAAACTAAAGAAAACTCAATACAGTTTTGATCTGAATGTGCATATATTTGCTATACTCAAGTGGATTGAGTTGTAGATTATTTAGGATCTTGAATAGATAAAACACAGATCATTATAATGAGCTTCTTGATTGAAAAAAGATCACGGCTTTAAGCTTAAATTGTTACATGGTTAATTGTAGGTTGGAAGAATGGCGGGTCAGTTTGCAAAACCAAGATCAGATCCGTTTGAGGAGATAAATGGAGTGAAGCTACCAAGTTACAAGGGTGACAATATCAATGGTGATACATTTGATGAGAAGTCAAGAATTCCGGATCCTCATAGGCTTATTAGGGCATACATGCAATCTGCTGCGACTCTTAATCTTCTTAGAGCTTTTGCTACTGGAGGTTATGCTGCAATGCAGCGGGTCACCGAATGGAATCTTGATTTTGTGGAGAACTGTGAGCAGGGAGATAGGTATGACAAATCACAATCTTTAATTAAGTTTTACTGCAGATTCTTTGCTTCAGCAGTCAATCTTGTTTTATGTTGCTGCCAAATGTCTTTTAGGAGATGAAAAATTGGAATGAGTTCCATGGTTATGCTTGGTGTATCATTTTAAAGATTTCGCCTGAAGTGTCCGGCTTTGTCGTGACGACATCGAGTGTCAATTTCAGTTGTATATTCAGCCATGCAGATTGGATTAATCAGACAATTTTAAGTCTAATATGTTTTATATTGGGGAATGATTTGCAGGTATCAGGAACTAGCTCACAGGGTTGATGAAGCCTTAGGATTCATGGCTGCTGCTGGACTCACAGTTGACCACCCTATCATGTCAACAACTGATTTCTGGACATCCCACGAGTGCTTGCTTCTTCCTTATGAACAAGCACTTACAAGGGAGGATTCAACTTCTGGTCTTTTCTATGATTGTTCTGCTCACATGGTTTGGGTTGGGGAAAGAACCAGGCAACTAGACGGTGCTCATGTCGAGTTTTTGAGAGGAGTTGCAAACCCTCTTGGCATAAAGGTATGGATAGCTTAAAGCAGTTGTAGTGCGATAGGCTAACAGGAGTATTACTAATCACAGCTTATTCATTGCTCGACGCATTAGGCTGCTCGACTTATCTAACAATGAAGGAAAATCTTAGTAGAGGAAAACAAAATTTAGAATTTATGCATCTCTAATCATTCCTTTTACTTTCTGATTTCCCCTTATCTTCTCGGGGCACCAATTTTCACTCACCAAT